AGATTCAATCTGAATATGCGCACACTGCAAAAATATCTCCCACAAGGTTCTGCGCTGAAACTGGATGTAATGGACTGTACATTTGTATGCTGATGATATTATTATGTTCAGTCTGCTGTTAAACTCAACAGTACTACTCTGAGTTATAATTTAACAACCAGAAATTGTTTCTCAATCCAGATAAAAGTAAACAGATCCCCCTCTTTTTAAAAAAAATATTTGTTAATGCAACTACTTATTTAGCAACCGAGTCCATCCAGGCAGGTTGACATGGTAAAGACGTCCTGCTGAAATTTAAACTGAGCATCAAAATGAGGAAGAAAGTTGATTTACAGTAACTCTGAACATTGCCGATGGGCTTCTCTGTCATGGTCCCCCTGTCTGCCCGGCCAGCTCCACAAGGCCACATGTGTTTTGTGTACATTCTCCTCTCTCCTCCCCGCCAGGGCGGAGCTCACTGCAGGCTCCCGCCCTTGGCACACACACCTGCATCTCGTCAGGCTCTAATTATGGGTTGGACTCTTAAGGCCGGGGCGCAGACAGCCTCACCGCTGGATGATTGTGCTAGACACGTCAGTAAACCTCAGCCTGGTATCCTTAAGCGTTGTGGACCTGCTGTAATCTCTGTGTAACCCTCTTCTCTTCTGTGCACAGTTTCCCCGAACCCGTGACCAACCTGTTGTTTGAACCGTTGTAAAGAAGAAGAGCTAGCGTGTATGTGACTCCTATCCCGGACTTCCCTTTCGGACCCAGGACCCTCGCTCCCCTCACTGTATATATCTGCACCTGGTGACTGTGTAAATAAACGTTGTTTTCCCCTGAACTGTGCTCTGCGCCTGAGTCCTACCACACCGCATGACATTCTCGTAGTATTTAAAAAACTGCTGATCTGCTGGGATTTTCACACGCAACCGTCTCTGGGGTTTACAGAGAATTGTTCAAAAAGGAGAAAATATTCAGTTAGCAGCAGTTCGCTGGGTGAAAATGTCAGAGGTCAGAGCAAAACGGCCAAACTGCTACAAGCTGATAGGAAGCCAACAGTAACTCAAATGAGCAGGCATTTCAACCAAAGTATGCTGAAGAGCATCGCTCAATATACATCATGTCAAAGCCTATGGACATGGACTAGGAAAAGGCAAAGACCGCCCTGGGTACTATTTATATCAGCTGAGAACAAGAAACTGAGTTTCGCTAAAATGAAACAACAGAAGACTGCAAAAATGGCCTGAGGAGTCTCGAAATCTGCTCCAACATTTGAATTATAGGATATTGAGTGTAGTCTATATGAAAGCATAGATCCATCCTGCTTTGTATCAATAGTCCAGGTGGTGTAATAATGTGGGGGGATATCAGCAGGCTTTGGGCCCTTTACTACCAACTGAGCATCATTTGAACACCACAGTCCACCTGAGTTTGTCCATCCCTTTAAGACTTAAAGGGATGGACAAACTCATCTTGTACCATCTTCTTCCTGCTTCCTGCAGGATAACACACCATGTCACGAAGCTCAAATCATCTCACACTGGTTTCTTGAACATTATAATGAGTTCTTTGTACTCAAGTGGCCTCCACAATAATTAATTCTTAATCTAAGAAAAGAGACCCTTTGGGGTGTAGTGGAAAATGAGATTCTCATCATGGATGTGCAGCCGCCACATCTGCAGCAACTGTGCAATGCAATCATGTCAATGTGGACTAGAATCTATGAGAAATGATTACAGCACTTTGTTGAATCTATGGAGAATTAAATATAAAGGAGATCCAATGCAATACTAGGAAGGGGATCCTAATAGCTGGCTGGTGAGTGTATGCTTTTTATGAATCCAGAAATAGTGATTATGATAATCTTATCATCTCTACCGAGAATGACTGAATCACTCTGCAGACTGTTTTCACCAATCTTGTTAAAGTCTAGTTTTACTCACTGTGCACCTGCAGCCTGGAGTAATGGGCAGATAAGTTAAAAGCTTGCCTCTTTTTATTTCCTTGCATAAATATAAATTGCATTTTAATTCTATTTTATTTCATTCTGAGCTCCGTAGTCGATACATGTATCTTAAAACTTTAGCTTTTTAAATATTCTTCACTGATATCTAACCAGCTTATTTTTACACCTACATCTTCTTTTCTTCAGCTGTGTTGTAAGTGAGAACTCATCCTTTAGGGATATAAGGCTGAACCAGAGTTTTATTTTTTGTACTTTTAATGAACACTGAGAGATTTTTACCAGATATCTGAGGGGTAAAGGACAGGCTAATGGATCAATTCTCCTTTGTCAGGGGTTTTCCTTTTTTCACTGTAATAGCACTGTTATTTTAATACTTCAGTTTTTTTTTCTTTACTTCAAACTCTCTGTGAAAGGATTTTGTTACCATGGCAAGCCCAAACAAGTGAGTTTGTGCTAACACTAATGTTTTTCATATATGTGGTGCATCCTTAGAGAAAAAAATAAATCTCCTATATGCTACAGAGTTGACGCGTCCTTTAGAGATATTTCTAAGAATAAATGAGATGAGCTTTGGGTGCCTAGAAAAGCGCTATATAAATCTAATCCATTATTATTATAGAATTCTTGACATGGCAATGATTGAAAGGTTAACTCTTTATTGTTCCGCTACAGGAAGTTGGGGAGCTCATGTTGAGAATGCTTCCATAAATCCCAGTGCGCTAATCAACATATGGCCTCCAAG